GCTTTTTAATACAGAGTCAACACCAGGCAACCTGCAACGTCTCTTCTTTCTTCCCTTTCTTCTCCTACAGAACATAAAACAGTGCACTGAAATTTGGCTATTACTATTTTATTTGTTTATCCTAGCTACATACATTACATGCAAAGGTACAGGAAACGTATGTTAGAGTTATTTTCATTAATTAATATTGAAATAATTTGGACAATGCTTATTTGAGAGTGGACACCTTACTGTCTGTACATTACCTCATATTCATGTTCTCAAGCAGACCCTCAAGCCATGGCCAACCAATATTAGATTATTGCCTTTGGCTGAAAAATACTTCAGGTTTTCCTAAGTTATTTTTCAAGTACATTTCTTTGGGAGATGTAGATCCAATACACAGGCATTTCACAGCAATAGTTAAGAATAACATAGTTATTAAGTGTTAGTCATTTAGAGTGTTGTTTAATAACAATATGTAGGTATCTATCTCAATAAGAGAAGAGTAGCTTTCTAGAATGCACTGACTGTACTGGGTAGATATCTACCATTTACGGCATGAGCTTAGAGGCTAAACCCACTTGTAGACACCTGCATGTATCTGTTTGAATCTGAAAATGAATCTCTCATTCATTTTGAGACCAAAAGGATTTCTTACATGCGAGCCACAGCCTTCCGTGCCAATTTACGCTGTAATCTGCGGTTTTCGTCTGTATCACGAAGAACATGATCTTCAGCTGCCCATCTATCCCAGCTAAGGATAGGTCAAAAGAAAATTAACAACGGCTATAAATACATGCCACTCATGATTACTACTGAATTAATTTCTACTAAATCTAAAAAGCACTCTTTTAACGTCATTCAGAAGCAACATCTGTATCACAAGGTTTGCATCCTTTTGTGTTCACATGCCTTCAATTCTCATGTTGCCATATAGTCTCCCAAACCTTGACTTAACATACAATAGTGTTTGTAGCACCAACACATGCTATAGATCACAGCCAGAGACTGCACTCATGTACTGGCCTTGATAACCAAACAATTCAGGTCTACATCTAACAAAATATAAACTCCTTTTACTAATGGAAACTCAGGAGCCACAAGGATATGTCAAAGACAGATACTCCATAAAGCTTAAACTCATGGCTATCAAGCTGATCCACTGCAATTTATGGATACAGACCAGATTGTAAATATGAGCAAGTGTATTAAAGGCATTCACAAAACCAAGTATACTCATGCAAACATCACAGTCCTTTGATATTCTATGCAATGCTTTTCTCTGTAGAATAAAAGAGAAGAAATGGAAGAACTGAAACCACACATGCAGGTTCTTACCTTCTGTTCCAACCGTTAAAATGGATCAGATATTCTGGAATCTTTCTGCCTTTCTCATCTTTTCCAACAACAATATCAACAATCTGAAACAAATATTGAAAAGCATGTATTGAAAAGCTTGAGAGAAAGTGAGCTTTCCAGTGTTTAGGGAATTTATGCACAAAGGAAAAAATAAATATTTACGGAAATTAAATATACCTATAATTTTGCCAGTGAATATTGGTATGAGCAGAAGATATCAATTATACCAAACGGCCACAAAAACTAGCTTTTTTTTGCTGAGCACTTTTAAAGTTGGGGGCTGCTAACCATCTTTGTCCTGTTCTCAAATGTCCCACGCTTTCAAGACAGACAAAGGGAGATGTAAAACAACGCAGTATCACAATACAGATACGCAGATATACATCTGTGCTACTACCATTTCCCCTGTATGCTGTCTCTTCATGCCCTCAAAGCAGGAGATGACGGTTATACATATATATAAACCTCAGAAATGCTGCTCTCTTGAACAACACCGAATCTTAGCCACAAAACACTAAAAGGCTTTGCGAGTATCTGAGCCTTTGTTTTCTTCCTCTCTTTCACACATGTAAAATGGACCAGTCTGAAATGACCTGCACCTCAAAAGACATTTCAGGTGGATTCAGAAGAACATAAGGACTCCTTAATAACAAAGGAATCATTCTGCCTGCACTTGAATGGCTCTCGACAGACCATATATCTGCAGGTGCACCCAGTAGTTAGGTTATAGTAATGTTTTAACCTGGGAGTCCAGAATTAAGAACTATTGATGCAGTCAAGGAGAGTTATACTCGAGTTTGGGGTATTTGAAAGTAAAGAAGAAAAGGCACTATTATTTTTTGCAGTCAGGTTACCTCTAGGGCTGGCAATTTAAGCTGCTGGGGTGGTCAGAACATAGGAATACACATACAATCAAAATCGCAGCCCAAAATATTACAGGAAGGTGGAGTTCCTGATCAAAGAGGTTTGAAAAACACTGATCTACACATCTAGCAAACTTGCAGCAAAAAGCATGAATTCGGTCAGGAATCCAGTTGCATTACCTCCCTTCTCACCCCTCTCTGTGACAAAACCAAAACAAAAACCACAGAACTGTTTGCAAGTTACGTATAGATGATTTAGGACTGAAAAAAATCATTTCACGTCCCATTGATACATTAAGCTCTACAATTACCATCACTATTCTTAAGGCCAGGCCCCAGTGAGTCAGTCAACTCTGACTGCAACACTTCTGGTCCACCACTCTCACTGCTTGCCATCATATTTCTGTATGTACCATCGGTACCATTTAAGCCCTTCTGAAAGGCAGAAGGAAGGGTAGGAGAGCAGGGGGAGGGAATAAATCAAGCTACGCTACGAAAGCGCAGGGATGCAAATAAGATTTCAGAATTACTTTGCAGGTGCTCAGCTCAGAACGGAAGGCGGGAACCGAGCCCGACACTTCCCGAG